TTTTGTGTTGTTCTGTCTTGTTTGTGTGGTGTTTTTGTGGTGCGATGACCTCTAATCACAGTTACGGTCGATTCATACTTAATTAATGTCAAGCTTTCAGTGGTGGGCCGTCACTCGTGACATTTACGTATCTGAAAGAAATAATATTTTCTGTTGGTTACTTTAGTAATTTCAGTTTTTAAAAGAATCCCAGTCTTATGGTTACACTTCTTTCCACTTATACTAGAATGTATATTTAGTTTGTGGTCAAACAAAACAGTTATTCTTTCATTTAGCGGGCTTCTCAATGGGGTGAGGACTCGCATTGATTTACAGCATAATAATCAAATGTCAGCGAAAGGAAATCTGATCAAAGTTCTTCAGGATTTTTCGGTATACATAACTTATCCTTACCTTTGAATCTATTTCTTTTGTTTCTGCTAAGTATCCTACGATCCGATTGGCGTTGATTTCCCTGGCTTTGGTCGACATGTAAATTTCCCGTCGTGTTGATCAGACCAGACCGTATTGTTGTTTCTAACTTGTCTTGCTTTCCGTAATTATTTAAGCGATGCGGAAGAGTTCAAATAGAGAAATAGGGTGGTCGACCGTCCCACATTTCATGTGACAAAGCAGTATGAACGTTAGGTGAAAAAGCAAGTCGTAAATTGCTTCCGTGGGATAGCTGATACTTCTATACTCAAAGTATGTAAAGGAATGTGAAATTTCTGACCTCTGTTATAACTCGGTTGAACGATTGAAATGTTCTCATGTGACTAGATAATGCGTTAATATGATATTAGGTAACTTCCATATTTGGCCAGCTTAATGCGTTGTGAGTCGTGCTTGCAGTTTTTTGTTTGATTATCTAACTGCGCTGGCATCTGTTTTAGAGTTCAGACTTCGTAATGTTAGTTAAAACAATAGAGTTTGCTCTACAATGAAGTTAACAGAAAACAGTGGGACTCTTAAAGCAGATACGTGCACTTACAGATTTGCAAGTCTTTACATAATAATAATTATAATTTTTAATTAATTCTTCGTAGATTTTTTGATCCGTCTTAGACTCTTAGACGTTTATGCAACCATTAATTTTAAAGCCTAGCATAGGCTGTAAAGTTTGCAAACTAAATCTGCGCGGCCGATAAACATTAAAGGTTGTGGGTGAATCGTAAGAGTTCAGTGAGAGTTTGGTTGGATTTGATTTTGATCTATGTCTATGAAATCAACGAATGGAAACTGAAAGGTAAAAGTCAAACTTTGCAACGCAACACTGTCATTTTCCGTCGGTTTTATTGCTATTTTGTATCAAGATGGGCCCATTTCTGTTTCATTTAATCGTTACGTTTCATTCTAATCTAAGCTTGTAAAAAGTCAGAATTGTTTGTTTTAATTGTCAGTTTGTTTTAAAGCTGTTTCTAGGACTGTTATCCTGATCCTTCATATTTATTTGATGCATCCTTTTACATTTACATCATTAACTATAAGTACTTTCCACTGCATAAATGAGTGATCAAGCAGAAAGATGTCCAAATGGAAGCAAAATACTGACCCTGGGTCCTTCTTGGGCCGATATCCGTAGCATCTCAAGGCTCTTGAAAGTTTTTCGATCGTGATCTTTTGTTTTTGACATCGCACCAACTAGCATGTCAGCATGTCTTCCGGTACTTTCTGCTCATAAAAGTGTGAACTCAAATCAAATAGTTTTTTTTCCTTTTGAAAGCGGGAAATCTACGTTGCCAAAGTTGTTGAATAGTTTCTTCTAATAAGGAAAATGCCAGTCTGAAAAGGCCAGCTAGGTTACCTGATCTGTAATAAACTCGAATGCAATCTGTGCGATCTAAAATGATGTCTTAATCACTATAGACAGTCCACAATACAAATAACAATATTGGCTATCTTGACTATGTTGGCGGTATGAGTAACGTTAGTGGCTCTGGTGTCTTTTCCGTTAATAGCTCGTGATTATTTGGATTAAGAACGAAGTCATATCTTGTGGCTTTGATTTACCGATTACTGAAAACTGTTGCAGTGACAGTGAAGGCTATACGTTGTATATGTCCTTGTGACCTTTGAGTATTTGCACTAGTTTGCAGTTCTGTAAACTCACGCACACAAAAGCTGAAAACCTGACTTTTCTTTGACTATATCCTTGTCTGAAACTGTTCACAAGCATAAGCTCACGTTTATTTAGATTAAGAATGAAGTCATATCTTGTGGCTTTGATTAAATGATTACTGATAGTTGTTGCAGTGACACTGAAGGCTACACGCTGTATATGTCCATGGGACTTTTGATTATTTGCACTGGTTTTCAGTTCCGTAAACTCACGCACACAAAAGCAGAAAACCTGACCTTTCTTTGACTATATCCTTTTCTGAAACTCTTCATAAGCATTAGCGCACATTAAACGAAAATGCATCATGTGGCCGCACTTTTAGATTCTTTTGGTTCTTCTCTTACATTATTAGCTTGATTTTTGTCGTCGTCCAAAACATCAAAATATCTCATTGCCTTTCTGCATTGGCTTTTATATGTGCAAACGAAGTGCTCGTGTGTGTAAGACACCATAGGGCAAAGCGGAAACGTCCAGGGGAGGGGAGGAGGGGGATTCTACCCACGCTTAGTTTCCATGTAATCGTCGGATGGTCTCAATCTCCTTTAATTTTTGGGACGATTGCAGGGTGCAAAGAAAGTCATTTTTACAGCTTGCCGTTCGAGCACACATGAGCTGAAGCTAACATTTACTAGCCGAAACATCTTTTCAACTAGCCCCAAAAACGTTTTGATGAGCAGATTGATTTCACAGTACTTCTGTAATTTGAATTCCTCGTCCGTGGGAGGAAGTTAATAACAGAATTCTCTAGCCCGATGGCAAAATCCACTAGCCCCGGGCTTTTGGACACTACTTTCTTTGCACTCTGCGATTGGGACGATCGAGATTATCCGGACGATAATATGGAAAATAGCCTATATACAGGTTCTATCCAGGTGATTGTAATCGACCCAGTAACGTTGCATCAGTTATCAAGGCAGTTAATTCCAGATGATCGTGTCCATTGCCTGAACACATTTTCAGGGGACTCGGTCGATCAAGACGATCTAGACGATTATATGGTAACCAGCCTACAGAGTCAGCATATATCTGGACATTCAGCTCTATCTAGGCTACTGCGATCGCCGCAGTCGTCTGGATCGCCTTGCGTCGCATTAAAGGTGTTCCTATAAGATTGTCTGGATCCTCTGAACACATTTTGAGAGGAGTCGAGCGATTGAGACGACCTGAACGATTATATGGAATCCATGCTTTAACACACCTATCTCCGTCATGGACAAAACGGTACTTATTGCGACGAAATATATTAGCTTGCGAAACCGTAGTTTATAGAGCAGGGTGTTACAAGCCATCCTTTTAGGAGTTGAACTCTTTTCTTTTGGGGACACATCCTTTTGCTCCAAGAAATTAACATGGCTGACGGTAACGTGAGTAAAGAGGCTCAAACGTTTCTTGCAGGGTGTGAAAAACACAAGAAACAAATTCAAATTGGCCTGTCAGTTCTTTATTCTTTCATATGAAACAAACAACAACTTAAGGAGGAGTAAATATATTACAGTGCTCCCGCGCTCAACTCAAATAAATAACTCAACTGTCTTTGTGGATTATTTTTTTCCTTCGATAAATATTTCAACTGTCTTTTTTTTTTCACATCGTTTTTATCAATTAAAAGTTAGAATCAGTACTTGCTCGTTATACCTGGATTTTTGAATTTTAAAGAGTTTCTAGGAGAGCGATAAGATTAGAAATTAAGCCAACGTTTCGTCTTTGTTTCGTCTCGCTTCCATCTGTTGAAAACAGAAAAAAAAAATTCTTACTAAAGGTTTACAAAATTAACTTTTGAATCTGAACTGCCATACCTCGTGCGCCTGTTTAATGCCGTTAAATGCAATTCCACTTAGTTGACAATAAAGAGTATCCGATGTCTGTTTCCCTTTCGTAAACGGTCGTTGCCATTTTTAACGGTCGATGCCACCATTGGTAACCAAGCCGTTAGTCGTGATAGATGTAATATATTCCCTGGATTAAGTTACAATAAGGCAAATAATACGTTTTTCAATAGTCTTAGAAAGATCGACGTTGAAGTCCAAGTTGAATTTACGTGAAAAGTTTTGGAAAGGGCTAGGGTCACCTGTTATTGATGCATCAGTTAAGAAAGACAGTTTGCTAGTTTATGTAAATAACGTTTTCGGAATTTTGGCTGGTAGGTGTGGTAGTGTAGTGGTAAGGGAGAGAGAACAATGGGATACGAAAGGTCCGGGTTCGACCCTGGGTTGCTATCTTCTTTCGTTTTGATAGAAACACTCAATAAACAGGCCAAAAATATTTTAGTGTTCTAGAAATGGCCGCAACCGTTTACTAAAGGGAAATTTGCGCAGCCGATACGCCCATTGTGGTCAGTCAGCGGCAGCAGATTTCGGCACATGCTCTGAGCACTCTCGGTGGTAGCCTCAAAGCTCATTCAGTTCAGTGTGTTGAAGGTTGGCGGCCTTTTTCTGTGGAGTGCGTTTTTCGTTTACATTTATACCCCTCCCTTCCCATTCCCTTATTTTCCATTGTAAACACATTGTGACGGGTGCCTGGACGACTCGGTGTGGTTGAGGGGCTCATGATTGCCAGCCACGGGAGCGGTTCACTGTCTAGGGGCCGGCTGGTCACAGTGAAGGGCCCCCAGACATCCCAGGCACCCTTCTTCTATACATTGTGATGCAGTTGTTAACTTTCAATTGACACAAGATAGGGAGGTTAAAGAACATTTGGTCAGTTTAATGAAACTTGATACACCAAACAAGTAATACTTTTAAATTCATGCTCTTTTGTGTAGTGTTTAGGTTAATTTCTAAATATTTGAAAAATCCGTTCCTTATTAAGTTAGGCAAAGGATGGGTTTCTTTATTTACGTTATGGATAACTGTGAGCATAAAAAGTTTGGCTTTTCTTCTGTACTTACCGAAAGGAAAATGTTTCAATTTGGTTCCGTGCATTGCTGGACTGGAAGTCCTTTGTCGGAAAAGCGATGCTGAAACTTAAAAGTAATGAAAATAATAATAAAAAAATGGAAAATCACTACTACGAAGAGGGTTTGGGTATGTAATACTTATGGCTCTTTTTAGTTTAAAAGGAAACGTCCGCGAGGACGTTCAATTCAGATAAGTTGCTCCAAATCGAGATAAACAGCAAATTCCTTTTTTAGAGGCCAGGAAGATTACTTGTAGGGTGTTTAAGCACTTTTAAAAGGTTTTCGTCCACAGACACGTAAGTCTCAGGGAATTTACCGGCAATTACCGGCAGCAGTGTACTCTAAGCATATTACCCGTTTCTAGGCGAAATAACCGACTCTCGAACTAAAATTCTAACTTTTCCCTCTGCGTATTGGACCCTAGAGGCCCTTCTATTTTAAAAATAATGAAAACCCTGTAAGTTAGAACCCACCTTACATGCCTCTATAATTGACTCTAGGGATGAAGGGGTTACTAATCTCCGGCTACCTATCAACAGACCTGTCTTGGTATGCTTCCCATACTCAGCTTGGGCTCTGAGGCAATTTTCTCGTCTTAGATCCCTTTTTCAATCAGTTAAAACCTTTTTAAGTTTCGGTGCAGATTTTTGTTTGACTTTGAAAAGTTTTATGCACAGAATTTATCAAACCATTCTTCTAATACCTTGGGCGCTTTCCATTTAGGCAAAATTGCCTGTTGGAAATTCCGGAAACATCCCGGGTCAAGTGGAAAGGCTCTCTTTGCTCGTGTGAACCAAAAATCCAGCAAAATATGGACGTTGTAGCACTGCCAGGTATTTGACGACAATTTCGAGGAAGAAAGTGAAACTTTGTCCAAAAGCTAAATACTTTTGACTTTGTGGCAATAGCAGCAGTTTGTTGCTGTTTCTTTAGAAGAGATATAAACAGAGTTCAAAACTACCTTGCGTTTGCAGATGCAGATGCCATTTTGAACGATACGATAAGAAATGGAAAGAAAAACTGCGACCGCCCGTGAACAACCCTCACCGGCAAACATTGGAAATGACGGGAAAAATTCCAGGCGCCAGCCGCCCGCCGAAACACAATTACGCAAATGGATCAGAAATTTTTGTTCCGAGTCTCATTTTATTTCCAAAAGCATTTATCTTTTCGACGGTCTCTCACGTTCATATAGAAACTAACCTGAAGAATTCCTGGTACAATAAGCCGTGATGCTGGAACTCTGTAAAAGGCGATAAAAATACTAGAATTAATTTACTTAGTAAAAAGACTCAGTAACTCTTTAATTCTGTATGTTTTCTTCCAAAGTGAATTAGGTGGGGAAAGTAAATACTATAAAAGAGCTTGAAAATAGCTGAATTAGATGGTCTTCGTTGGTAGCTTCACTTTCAACTGAGCTAAAAGAAGCTACAAAACGATTTTCAAGTAGGGCTTGTTGAATTATTTTTTCCATTGTTTTTGATAAGAGAGCACACCCTTTCCTTTGATCAACGCTGAAAAGGGCTGATTACCCGCTATCTGTTATTTTGTTTTGTTTTATTTACAGTTATTTTTGTTACTTACACAATTGGCCAGTGAATACCGCTTGGCTGAGTACACTGCTCTATTTTATTCCCGCTCAGGGTGTATCCAGGCCTAGGAAAAGACTGAAAAAAAAAAACAATATTACAATGATGAGATAGAGGAGATATTTACAACAATTTATGTTGTAAAATACACAGTACCGTTGCAATTTGGGTAAAATTATTCGACCATTCTCATGGTGTTAATAACAATAACAACAAGATGCTCTTTGTTGGTAACAACATTTCGAGTTAGATTTAATGCAAGGTTTCTAATTCTTGTTCTTGCCACTCCTGAAAAACACGTGTAATTTTTTATGCGGTGGAGGAATATGAGCTAATGAATTTTTATTGCCAGGGGAATCCTGAATGTACGTGTAAAAAATGTGTCATTAACAGGAAAAATGTTGGAGTTCCAAGTCATGGAAAGCTTTTGAAATCAGATTTTGGTTTCTCTAATTGATACAGACCATTTGTTATAATGTAAAGAGTACTTTGAGAACGTAATGCAAGTTCTTACACGACACAGGGTCTTGGAGAGTAGCAATTAGTGACTCCCTCCCCTTCAGTCACATGCGAAAAAAAAGCTATAAAATAATCAAGTTGAAAGTTTTTACCTCTTTTCCAGCTGAAGCCATCTGAACTGAAAATAACAAATGCTACAATTATTGGATGAGGTTGAGCATGATAGTGTGAGTTATCGAGACCGAGATTGTATTATCTAATGAAGCCGAAGGTTGAGGGGAATGACACAAGACGAAACCTTTATAATTCTCGCTATCAGGCGGAAACCGAATCCAATAATAGTTTTATTCCGTAGACACATATGTTAGCCATAACGCATACAGGAAGCTAACAATGAATATCAACTGAATGTCATAAGGTTCTAAAGCATGTCCTTGAGACAGATTTCCAGACCATTCTTCGACATTTACCTGTGAAGCGTCAATGAGAAAGCCCTGAGGTTTTGTAAAATACTTTTTGAATCTTCAAAGTTCTAAAATTGCTGCTCGAACTGTTTGCAGCTCGCTAAGTGGTGTCGTACGAAAACTCATGTTCTCTTGCCGAAACCTATGATGGCACTTTTTGCATTTACAAAACTGTTGTCTGCTAAAATGACATCACTTGTGCATGCCTAAAAACCATTGTCTGTAAGAGTGACGCAACGAAACTGGTACCGGCTGGAATTAGTAGTTCCCCTTTAACCAGTCAGAATTAAGTTGGTGACGGAATACCTGTAAATATAAGGGCGCCCAGTGGGACAACTGTGAGTCAGTCATGGGTGGGCAATAAAAGAGCGACAGGGTTAATTATTTCAGTTATGATAAAAGCAAGTCCCCTTAGAATACTAGTGCTTAGTTTGATGCCTGAATTGTCTGCATTAACTTCGAATTTAAGAGGTCAGTTGTTTGTTTAATATTTTGTTTAAAATGACCTAATTGGAGGAATGTGATAATTACTTAAAAGATGAAACATTCGTGGATTTGTGGTTTCAAAATCCGGAAGAAGTCATTATGACCTTTTGATTAGCTATTCGAAACCAAAACACGTCTGCATCCCGGCATGTACTAAAATCCAGACGATATCCCTTGCTAATCAATTTCCGGTCACATGGCCTTCACTAACTGAAACAACATTAGCACCGCTTTTCCAGTTATGAGTGATATCTGGTTTATGTATTGTTCGTTGTACAAGCCGGATGATTTTTGATGGTATTGGATTGTTTATTTTAATACACAAGTTTGATGGCAATTTAAAAGACGCGATAGTTGGTTGGTGTACACGTGGAAATTTTATCTCCGGAAGTATTTTAACTTACGATTTTAGTATTGAAAGTCCAAAATTGTTTTTGAAATACCGTTCAGTTTATGTACTACTGGTGCCAGCTAAACCCATATTAAAATGTAATTCTGTTTTTTTTTCTTGATAAGTCCCTAAACATACTCGTGCTTTAGTCATTGTTTTTTTCTATGCCTCAAAGAGTAAGGTTAAATATTTGGTCTATATAGTGATCTGTTTAAACGTCGAAAATCAAGATCATTACTTAAGCAATACTTTCTAAACACTTCTGTTTGATGAGCCTACTGAAGTGAGTAAAAAGAAATATTCCTCTTTGAAAAGATTCGAGTGCCATCGAGATTTCACATAAGAGATTGCTTATTTCAGCAGTGGAATTAAGCGAGTTCAACCTGCAAATTAAAGGTTTGAGTTTGTCGAAATTGACATCGAACTTCAAGTGCTGTAGACACTCAAGGAACAAATTATTTTACTTTGGACGTCTTGAACGGTGGACTGAACAATGTCTGATTGCATGAAAATATTAGGGAATGGTATCTATTTCGTTGGCGTTACGTCGAGGAAAAAACACTGCGGTGCGGTCAATAACATGTTAACGTTACTCATGTGGTTAAAAAGCGGTCATTGACAATAGTTTTGCGTTGTCAACTAAATACTTAGGGCTACTCTGCTACTGTATCATTTAAACTGTTCGGCTCAGATATAAAATGACAGATTAGTTTTTGGTAAATTACGACAGGTTAGTTTACTTTTTATGTGGACGAATGAGCCTGAAAAACTGTCATTTCAGTTTGCAAAATATGGGGTCGTAAATACTAACATTTTCGACGTAGCGTCTTTTAATGGCAGAACGTACCTTTTCTTGAAGATAACCTCCTTAATTTCCAAGAGGGAACGCTCCAAAAACTTCAGATGTTCAATTCTTTCAAGTGTCTTGCGCCTTCAGTGTTTTCTGTTCCATGAGCTACGTAGCCTGGCACGCATGCGCACTATCATCAGTGTATTTATTTTTCATTTTTGTTCAGTTCGAGTTTGCCTCTTCGTTTTGAACAACGTGTTTACAATTAAAGATACTAAGCTGCTTGCGGGAAGAGGCTTGCGTGACGCGACTGACGTTGTCCATCCCTGCAAGAAGCAGCAGGTTAAACCATGACGTCCCATGTTGTATTGAACCGGAGTTGAAGAGTACGTGTATCCGTTAAATGTTAATCTTTGTTGTTTTGAGTTGTTTACGAGTGGTTCGATGACCGCAAGAAACATCTTCCCGTGGTTGTGGTTGATTTTCGAAGACAATTTCGTTCTTTTAGGTCAAGTATTGCTGGGCGTTCACTCGTGAAATCGATCTTGACGTATCTGAAAGAAAGAATATTCTCTGCAGTTTACAAAAGTTAAAATCCATACATGCATCTTGTGGCTCACTACAGAATTATATCACTATGTTAAGTATGAAGTCAAAACAATGTTTCTCTCAGTTAGCGAGCTTCTCAATAGAAAGGACTGGCGATGATCTAGCGCATAGTAATCATGTGTTTGTCAGCAGAAAGTGGTATCTAAGTTTTGATTCCTGAATATCCATTAAAATTTCCTTTACCTTTCAATTACACTTTCCACAAACTGCTCTCGTATAGGCAATGACTTCCCTGGCGCTCCTTAACAGTCCAAGTCTCCTGTTGTATCGCTCAGACAAATGGTTGTGATGTTTTACGTTGTTAAGCGATGTGGCAGTTCGCAACTAGAGTGGTCGGTAGTCCCACACTTCTTGTGGCAAAAGCTTTATGAAGCGTACGTAAAAAGCACGGTGTAAGATTTTTCTATGGGATAACCCTTGGAAACTCGTCTGTTCTTCTAAAGTATCAAGGAATGAAAAATAGTGACCTCTGTTAAATCGGTTGAATTGAAATGTTCTCATGTGATTAGTTTTTTCAGTTTTTATGGTATTAAATAACTTCCATATTTGGTCAAACGTAAGGGTTGTGATGGTTCTGTCACGTTGCGATTTCAGTTATTTGTTTTGATTAAGCATCTGTATCGGTCTCGGGCTCTTCCTTACCAACAGTGTAATGTTAGGACAATTATATTTGTTTTATGCGCTTCCAGACATCCTAGCCTTCACATGAAAAACAAAAACGAACAAACAAAGAAAGGTTTAAAATTGTTCATTGAATCGTGGTGTGGAAATTCTGATCGGCTTTATCCATGCAGGTATGTAGAAAAAGAATCACTGCCGCAAACTAATCAGTAAAAATCAAAATCACATCATATTTTTTTTTATCAAGTGTTTTCTACCCATCGTCAATTAACTGAAGGTCGGCTTATTACAGTTTTATTCTCGTCATTTCCTCTTGAGCGTATAACACTCCTTCGGCGAAATTACGGTGAAGTCGTGACTTAACCCTTTCTGTTTCTGGTATGTAATCTTAATCTTTCATATTAATTTCCGGGGTCATTTTTGTCTTTTTAAGCACGGTTCTCAACACAATTGAGAGGTCAAGAAAGTTTGCCAAGTGCAAGCAAATATTGGTCCACGGTTCTGCCCACTGGTGGATTTTGCCGATAGGGCGATATCCCAGCATCGCTTGTCTCATTGATCGCCTATTTTTGGCATGAATTTCATCAACTGGAATATTTGTTCTCTGATACTTTCTGCTTACAGGTGCGAATCGAAATGAAATTGTTATTACGTAAATACTCCAAATCAGATAGTAGGGACAGTAATCATCGCCAAAAGTCACCGTCTAAATACGTATT